GAGTCGTACTGCCGGGTCGAGGTCCAGTATCTACAGGCAAGTGTCATTGAAGCGCTTAATATAGCTTATGATTGATTCTCCTTCCCTCTGAACCATGTTTAGAAGGCTTTCCTACAATTTCATACACTTCTTACTGGTAATGAAGTGCACAGTAAACAAGACAACGAACTAGGACCAACTTTTGATGGAGCCCAGTGCGAGGTTTAGGTAACAAGTTCGAACTACCCCCTTAAACGTAGTGGAGAAGGCCACACACATGCAAGACTCATCAGCTCCAGCTAGGTGCATCTGAGACTGGAAAGAGTCTACATGGTCACTAGGGTCAAACAACCCATCATACTTGTCTAATGGGGGCATCTTAAAATCTTTTGGCATTGGAGTTGCCAAGAGCTCGGGAGATAGAGGGGATGACCGGCAAAGTAGTGGAGGCGCAGTCTTTGTAGCCACCGAGCTCACTTCTACATTTCCTTTGGCTTGTTCTTCTTACTGGCCTGGCTTTGCTGGCGGGCTGCCTCTGGCCAAGGGGCGGCGTGTCTTACGACGTCGTCATTGCTGCTTCTTCATGGGCTCGGCGTTGGTACTGCTAACTTCAATCTGGTCTGGTACTTCGTCATTATCATGGGGTAGGTCCTGGTTCCTTCTCGTTGGATACTCTTGGTTGTGGGGCTCGAATTAGCTATCACGAGGGATGGAGAGGTCTTGTCTCGAGTTTGCACCCCGAACTCCGAACTGATTATTATCAGCTCGCGAGCCGTCATTTTCTTGCTGGGAGTACCGAAGCAGATTGGTCATGTTGGGCTGTAGTAGAAGGAACTGGTGTTGATACTGCTGGTATAAATAGTACTGCTGGTATAAATAGTACTACTGGTACTACTAGAACTGTTGGACCTGCTGCATATGGATCTGAATTGCCCAAACGCACTGAACGAGGTCATGAAACTAAGAATGCCCAATTCCAGGGGAACCGCGGATGGCTCAGAGAAAGTCGCGCCTACCACTAGGGGAAGTGGGATGCTCACTTGCGTGGTGCTCTGTGGTGCGGACAATGACGGAACTCCGGACACTGTGAGCGGAATAATGAACTAGCCGATGCATACCGTAGGACCTTGGGGGAAGGTTGATTGCTAAGCTTGCCCCCCGGTGGCGTTCATCTCGATACTTTTTCCGGTGTTGCTGGAAGATGCCGTTGAGGTTGAGATTGAGTTTGAAACTGTAAAGAGATAGGGATGACCTTTCGATCGTTTCCCACAGACGGCGCCAATTGATGGTGCATGATCTGGCTACTCCTAGCTGGAAGGCCACCCGAACTCTAATTGGGCGGCAAGATGGACTGTTCTGCAAATCAGTGGATCAGAGAACCCGGGGTAGCTAACCTAGCAAGGTCGCTCCAATGCTTAAGTTAGTACTTTATGCTGTAAATGCGAGCTGAATGCTTGAGAACTTGAGTGCTAGTGAGTAAAATAATCACGCGTACCTTTGCCTTAAGGTTTCATGTCTTTATATACTGGAGTAGTCGTTGGCCTTATGGAAGAGATCTGGGATCTCCGGGCTGTAGAGATGAGGTTTGTTCCATTTTTGAATGGGAGTAATATGTTGATAAGGTTTATCATTTACCTCCGATTCAGGCGGAGCCGAGATGAGTTCTCATCGTGATATCGGGAAATTCGGGATCTATCGGCTCATCATGATCTCGAGAAATTCAGGATCTGTTGAGGAGGCCTTTGGAGTCGGTTAAGTGGCGTTTCGACTCATTAGCTCCGAGCTAACACTTCAATTCTTTAGTCCCAAACTGGATTGGGTGTCGAGGTGCCTCTACACCGAGGTGGTTTTTTGGGCCGAGGTGGCTGAATACCCGAACTCCGAAGGTTGCAAACTGGGCTTGCTTGACTGAGTTGTCACCCTTTGATCAGATCGCGCCTACGTGTCCCCTTCTTACTAGGTCGTGCCAAATCACCCTTCATTAATACTATTTCACTATATAATTAATTCAACTAGCCAATGGACCCATAATAGCATAGAGCATCCCATGGTTCCTTAACGAACACCATTCATAATAGTAGCACTTAAGAAATTCTTATACTAAATGGAAGATAGATGTGTGATAGTTCCTACTTCCTAGTTCTTAGAGAGGTTTGTCTGTACTGTAGCACAAAGCTTTAGTAGTAGTAGTAGTTTTGAAACGATCATCTGAAGAAAAATAATAGCACAAAGCTTTATTAATTTTATTGGATGCAATTGAGAGAGAGAGAAGGAGGGAGGGAGAGAAGAGTAAATTGATATGTGAAATTTACTTGAATTTGGGCTTTGGTGGGCTCAAGCCAAGCCCAAATTGATCTACCTTGCAAATGGTATCTTTGTTATTCAAAAGAAAAAAAATAAGCGGTCCGATAAAATGTTGGAAAGAAGATAGACATTTGCTCAATTGCCTTTTAAATAACATTAATAGTCATCATTCCCTTATAGGTAACAAAGATATATATATACATATATATATATATATGAGAGAGAGAGAAAGTCAAATTGAAAGTGTCATATATCCACCGTTGGATGTGGATTATATCATATATTAACCGTTGGATCTGAAAATCGATCTTCAAATTGAAGCATATGTAATTTGGACCGTTGGATTGACTAATGTATCTTATACACCACAATGAAAGGGTCACACTGAAACATCCATATAGCTGTTTCTTGAAACGCCCCACTAAACAGCATGAAATGGAAAAATGTTTATTGTTGCTGAAGTGTAAAGGAGTGTTTCTTGAAATACCCAGTTTAAACTTAACCAAACAACAAAGTGAAAAACGTTTAAAGTGGGCGTTTTTCTGATAAACACCCACTGGATAATCATAAACGGTTCCAAACACATACCACATCTGTTTCAATTACAATTGCAGCACTCTCAGTAAAACAAGGGCATCCCAGTTATTGTCTTAAATTCTGAACATTAGATTGATCTGTTTTTTTCATCTGATCTCTGATGTGTTTGTATTTTATTGGAGTCACAATGAAGTTCTGTGCAATGTAAGCTAAGTGGAGGGATTGGTTCTTAGCTCTCTCTCCAAATTCTAAAAGTATATGATGTGAATTGGACTCAGGTGGAATTGGTCCAACCCCCCCTCCCCCCAACCCAACCACCACCAAAAAGGATATACATAGCAATTCAAGATCATGCCTGACTGGGCCTTTCAAATTTTGGGCCCAGGCCATCCACAACCCCAGGTTTAGCTGTCTGGGTTGCTAATTGTCAAATTGGCACAACTAATATGATCACTGCTTTGTGAGCCCAATGTGAACAATGATATGTTGGCACCACATGACAAATCCACATGAATGAATTGTTTTTTTAGTTGTGATTTTTGGCCCTATCTTCCTTTTTCCAAAATGGAAATTAAAAATACATTTTTTAGCTTCCGGCATTAAAAATATGATTACCTCTAATTGCTTAGTGTAATGTTTCATAAAATATACAATATTCTGACAGAGATTTTGATTGGATGAATGTTAGTTCACCTTAGGATTATTTATTCCATTTACAATTTGGATGCAGGTTGGGTTGGTATGAAGTATGATTTTTATAATTAAAAATTAGTGTATGGGCCGGGCCAAATTCTGTGCCTGGACACAAAAGCCAGTCCCAAGCCTAAAAATTTGTAGGCTGCACTGGACTGTAAAGAGATGGGATTTCCTGAAAGTAAAAGTAGCACTACCCTAAAAGCACGACATTCAGCTACACATAAGGAAACTTGGCTTTGGAAATTTGATGTTGAGTTGTGCCTTGAATTATTGTTTTCAGTCCTATCCATGACCCAATTCAACATTTGTAGAAAAAATTTCAGAGAGAATTTCAGTAAGTCTGTGGCGGATGCAGAGGCCCACGGAATAGACCCAACCCAGTTTCTGCTTCTGGGTCCAATCAGCATATGTTATGTTGCCTTTTCTCTATTTTGTTTTTGTATTGGCACTCGAAGAGAACGGTGTGAATGAGTGCAGTTTGAGTTTTCTATGAGAGGTTGCTACCATCATTACCATATGGTCACTGTTACATGTAGCCGAGCCTTTGTTTTACATCTGTATGCGTGTGTTTCTTGCTTCTCACATCTCTATTTTGCTTTTTTGTATCTTCTCGATCAGTCTGGTGCAACACTTAGAACCAAATGGAAATTCCACAGAATAAACTGAGTATCTCCAAAATTTACAGGTACGCCTACATGTAACAGTGACCATATGGCAAAAATAATAGACATTCTTTTCTATCTCTTTTGGTGTAGATAAAAAATTGGTACTTGAGATGAAGGCATGCATCTCTGCGCCATAACCATATAGTGGAGAGAAAACCGCGACCATTTTAGAACAGCCGGCCCCATAAAACAAGGACATGATCCCGTTTATGTGGCTACTGTGTCCCTGTTTTGTTTGTTGGTGGATGATGGCAAGAAAGAAATGCTGAAACTCATGGCTGCAGCAGATGCAAATTAGGTCTCCATCCACGAGCGCCCAAGCAGGACATGGCAACAGACATTCAACCGTAATTCTCTCACTAAACATGTGATCATCCGCCAATTCATGCATTTATTTAATCCCCTTGTTATCGTTAAGACTAACCAACATCCTTATGCTCTCAGGTCTGTCTCAAAAGGAAAACCAACCCTATAAAACCACTTGCCAAAATTAATAATCCAAATTACAACTCCCAAGTCCTGACACCACCAAAAGCAAAAAAGCTAAATTATTCAGCCCAAACAAACAAGCTCCACCTCATGATCCAGTCAAGAAGAGTAGCTGGATTCCTTATTTTACCCACATACGCCTTTATAGTATTGCAATTATATATGGTAAGTTAAGCTCATCGAATTCAGAATCCAGGTAAACAAAACCCAGAGAGACAAACATTTTTCGAAGGAGATGCAGAGCAGATCTGCGACTGTGACTCTGCAAAGTTCGTATAGACCTCACATCAACAAAATATTACAGCAGGCTCAGCAAACAAACAATGGAGATGGACGAGAAGCTGAATAACACTGTCAAGTCGCTGCACTGTGCAAAAGGTCATAGATAGAGAGATATACAAAGCCTATAAGCAGTACCTTTTTTCTTTTCTTTTATAGTGTTGAACAGTAAGATAAGAAAGATAAAGCTAAAATGACAGACCGGGTGACTGATGACTCACACACACGCTAGATGTCAAAAATAGATCTGAAAACGAGCTGCCTGTAATATACAGTGGGTAGCAAAAAGACGAAAAGGGCCCCCATTACCATGTCCCCGGTTGTCTTGTAGCTTCACGTGACCGACAGAATTTGCAGAGAGAAAGAGAATGCTGATTTTTACACGACGAAGGCCAACGCCAAGGAACTGACCGCCAGGGCTACGAGAGACAGAGCCGGTAACCGTACGATATGACGATCAAGAACAACAGCAGTAGCCGGAGAAGAATCCAGTCTCCCGAACTGGAGGGAATCAACGGCCAACGGCATGTTCTCCTGATCTGGACTGCACGTTGACTGGTGTGGAGGGTGCGCACTGTACAGGATCGCACGTAGCACCGCTGACACCGTTGGGATATACGCCGTTTTGTTCCTCGCCAGTAGCCACGTCAGCCCCATCAGTTGGCAATCCCTACCGAGCATCTTGCTCACTCGGTCGCTGTTTTCTCCCGTTCCGTTCTTCCCATCTCCCTTGAGCTGGAATTGTACGATTTGCACGCAACAAACAAAAGAAATACACAAAGGGCATTCTCGTCATTATACATCATATGCTCTACGCCTCTACACAGAAAGTCGGAAACAGCTACCTTATAGCAGTGGTGACAGCGCACGTTAGCAATGGGAATTGGAAACTACAGAAGAATGGCAAAACATCATCCATGAAACCTGGTTGCCATTCTTTCAAATAATAGCAAATGCTTTCTTTCCATGCGTCATTTTCGACGGGTTACCGGAACCACTTCCATTTGTTCTCTAAAAAGGTGAGAGTCACTCTCATGTTTTACGAAACCACGAAAAAAGAACCGCTACCAGATAACATTCTGTCGGAATTACCCTTAAATTCGTCAAAGTTTTACTTTAGTAAATAGAATATTTTAAATTGAGTGGAAATATCACGCCAACCCTATCACTCTATCAATCCATTCGTCTATTCAAGAAAGCGCAAGTCATCCCTCGCCTTGTCAACCAAATCGCCATTTTCGTAAATTTGTTAGATAATTTTGAGTTAAAACGAAAGATGTTTTCCTAAAGCTATGCTTGGAAGATAAAGAATTAAGAATTCACCTTTTCGAGGGCGCCGAGGCACTTAGTGCAGCCGGCATATGACGAATTCCGGCAATTCTGTTCCAAATTCTTTACGGCAGCCGTCGGTGTCGCGTTCCGGTAGGAAGTAACGTTAAACGCGGCGGGGCAGCTCAGTGAGCTGATCTGATGGAGCCGAATTCCACAGAAACAAAGAATCGCGTCGCACGTTGAATTCGGCTGAGGAATGTGAATGTTACGATTCTGGAAAGAGCTCTGGAGTGAGTTAACGCACTTCTGTGAATCGTCGGGCATCATTGGACCATCTGATGAAGTCGGCGCGGCCGCCGAAACCTGAAGTGCTGACCTAGCATGCGCTGCGAAGAGCCAAGCTGCGAGAACCGGACAACAGCGGCTACGGTCAAGGTTGTGACCGCATGCTTCACTGACACCGCCGAAGAGCTCGTCAGAGAGGTCAAGATGGCATATCTGCGCTTGTGTTTGGACGGGAAAGGCGGGAACAGTGTTTGTTGTGGAGAAGTCACCGGGTTTCAGAGGTTGCTGGGAATCCGACGGGGTTACAGCGGTGGATTCAGAAAGAAGAGAAGTTAGAACGACAAAACAGGTAAGCGCGGATGAAAATGAGAAGAATTCCATTGCAAATCGTTTGTAATGGATTTCCCAAGTTCAGAGGTTTTCTTAATATATGCCTTGTGAATCCCTCAATATGATTCTAGAGCCACCAGATTTCTCTGCCTTTGCACTAGCTATAGTACCGGAAACCAGAGACGAGCCACCTCAGTAATGCACTTGATATAAAAATGTATAGAAAGGAAACATAAAAGCAGAAAAACTACTTGGAAATCGGAGAGAAGCACGGCTGATGATACAGTAGAATCTACTTTGATAGAAAATCTTTACGAGATTCCACGAGGAAGACGCTTTTCGCAGTGAAAAAAACTTTTCTTCTCTAGTCTCAGTAGGAGTATCGCTTTCGCTTTAGGCCTAGGCAAGGAACCGGATATTCAAGAGAGATTCAAGAGAAATCCGTTGCTCTGCAAGTCGGTTCAGCTCCTCTTGCTTCAAGGAATCTTTACGAAGAACACTTCACAAGAAAATCCAAAAGCTCGAAAAAGAGGAGAGAACACTTCGCAGGAACCTCTCTCCTAACTCTCTCGAAAGAGACAGAGAGACCATCAATCACACCAAGATCGGGGGTCTGGATAAATCCAGGCTCTTGAAAAGGAAACAGTAACAAGCGATGGAGAAACTGCAATGTTGTTTTAATACTATTTTCAAATTGTTGAAGAAAAAAAAAATATGAGCAGGTGATAAAATAAAGTAGAATAAAAAGAGAACAGGTAAATCGTGCAGTGTGGAACTGGAAAGAGAAAGAATCCGAAAAGGAAAAAAAAATAAAAAAATAAAAAGAGAAAAGAAAATATATATTGGATGGAAAGGCTGTCTGAGGTTTTTGTCTGCTTGTGGTGTCTTTTTACTTTTCATTTCTTCTGGTTCCGGTGACTGGTGAGTGCCTTTCCGTTTTGGAATTTCTGAGGCCAGAAAAATTTTTTACAATCACCACCTCAGTAAGACGGGTTAGCGCCGTTAGCCCGTTACACACTCTCTAGCCTCTATTCACCGGCCTACACTCTACAACTCCACAGCCCAAACGTCGAGATTCTCGAGTAGTCACGGATAACGCGCCGTCCGATTCAATGAAGGGAAAAGGGCTCATCGCGGCACTGAGGCATGACGGTATCTTTTCATCTGTTTTTCCTTATGGGATTAGGGAAAAAGTAAAAATTATAAAAACCTCCTTGAAGTTTTTATTATTTTTGATATCTCAGGCCATTTGTATTTCTACTCAGGCTATTTGTAAACTGTGTCATCTGTATTGACTCCGATCTCATCATCATCGTCCTTGATGACTATTTTTTATTGGGTTTCCTTTTGAAAAAGAAAGTAAATTTGAAATTGGTAAAATGTAAATTTGATATTTTAAAAGGTTGCGCTATGATAACAAAAATATATGATATCTAGTATTTATCAAAATGTCTTCGTGTATTCACCAAAATGTCATTTTTCTGGTTATGATCATTTTTATATTGATATTTACATAATTGGGTTTTGATTTATCTGTGCATTATTATTGGGAGATAAGCTTTCTCCAGAGGTTGAGTATTATTTATTCATTGTTCGCTGATGTAGTGACTAATGGCACCTATTTGTTAATAAACAGTTTTTAAGTATTTTTTTTAATTTTGAAGATAAATCAAGTATAAATATTTATTTAATAAACAAAAGATATACTCAATTTATACTTAATCATTCAACTAGTATTATAAAATAATCATCCGATTAGATAGTATTCATCAAAATTCACCAAAGGATTTGATTGGTCAAAACTCTTCAAATATCATGTCTTTTTAGCAATATAGATTCTTGTGAGCAAGCCAGTCAGTCGCCTGATCAACTTCTCTAAAAAATGTTGATACTAAAGACCAAGGTTCAAAATATCGATACATCCATACCGATGTATCAAGTGAATCGATACAGCTTTTGACACTTTTTTTTTATTTTTTTATTCACAACTAGTTCAGGGGAACTGGTTTAGACCTCCTCTACGCCCTGAACTAGTCAAACCCCCTATACATCCATAGTAGGGGCATATCGAAAGGGTCCCAAAACGATATACATTGGTCGATATGGATCAATACGTACGATACTTTGAATCTTAGGTCAGTGCTTTCGACCAATACAACCACTGTGCCGCACTTCACCGTCTCCGAGTCATTATTGCAGAAAAAGGCTTTGGGAGGTTCCACAATTGATTGATATGTCTGTAGTTTGTTGGGAAAAATTCTTTCGTTGGATGGGGATCAAAATAAGATTTATGACGCTACATGTACGTGTTGGATCTAGAATACCTGAATTCAAGGTTGGTAGCACCACTCACGGTGACGGTGCCCTCGTGCTTTTGCCTTCATTCCTTTTTGCATCAATTGATGGTTTATTCATTGTGGGTCACCGTCCTCTAAAAGCTGAGAAGCAAGAAAAAAAGTCAATATAAATAATAAGTTGCACAAGATTTTGACGGTTTGGATCCGCTTCCGGAGGTAATCTATATTCTTTTCTCAAAGAAGGTAAATTCTATTATCAAAAAACAAAAAAAAAAAAATTCAAGTTTCATTTTATTTGATGAACAAATTATTTCCCTCCACCAAATTAGACGATCAACGGCTTTCCTACCCAAACAACTAGCAATAGCAATGGTATCATTGCCGCCGCATCTGCATCATCATGCGTCATTGCGTTGTAAGCAATTCTGCATGTCAAGCCGTTGGGATGGTGGGGGTATTTGGGATGCGCTAACCCCGTTTTGTAGTATAATTGGATAAAAAATAAATAAATAAGATTAATCAACGTTCAAAATATCGATTTATTCTTAGTAGAGGCGTATAGTGCAGTATCGGTAGTTTATTTTTAGTTTTCTTTTTTTTTTTTTTTTAATTCGATTCATAGGAATTGGTTTAAGGTCTGTCCACCCCTTGAATGGGTCAAAACCCCAATACACCCTCTGTAGGGGCATATCTATCGGGAAGCTCATGATAAAGCAATAGTAGAATGCTATTTTGATGGTTTTTTGTCACTTAAAGTCAGAATATCAGATTACAATTTGTATTCTTTGATATGGTTTTTCTTTGGGTAAACTAAGGAATCCTTACTATGGGGTCAATGACAATTAAACCTATTTATGAGCCAGGTATTCAGATTTTAGGCAACCCACACGAGTTTTGGGCCCAAAACACTAGGCCTAATTTTTTATGAGTTATGTTTTAGCCTTTTCAAAAAAGTTCGATTTGATAATATTTTATAACATAAAAATATTATCTTATATTTTTCCAATATTTTTGGGTTTTGAGGTAATTTAATATAAATAAATTAGTTATATTGTTGAGTTGAAAACAATAATCTTCTTGCCCAATTTCTAGGCGGAGCTTCAGGCTTGGGCTCGGGCTCAAGATCTAGGCTTGATAGTTGGGTTGGGTTTAGGCTCAAACTTGAATTTGTTCTATTAATATAGAGACAAAGCCCTACTTGATAATATTTTACATAAGGGCAAAATTGTTGTTGTAGTCTTCTTCATCTAATTTTCCTACATAAATTAGGTTGAAGCGAAAATCTGGTACGTGTCTTACATCCTTGAGAACCAATTTACAACTTGCATTAGTCTCTATTTGTACATCACCTAACCCCACAATTTTTTATATATAGCTGTTACCCATTTTTACTATACCAAAATCACCTAATTTGTAAGTAGTAAAGAGTTCTTTGTGTGGAGTAGCATGGTATGAGGCACCAGTGTCAATAATCCAAACTATGTTTTGGCATGTAAGGCTAAAACAAAACTCTTCACAACATGCAAAAATCATAACCTCACCATTTGAAACAACTGTAGTCGTCTCTTTTCCTTCTATCTTTTCACATTTTTCTTTCTTTTTTGTCACTTTTTAATTTTTTTTGCATTCTCTCTTGAAGTGTCTCGGTTTATTACAATAATGGAAAGTGATATCTTTTCTTGATTTGGATTTACCTCTAGACTTGTCACGGTTGTATGAACCTCGGCTTTGACTTCAACCCCGACTTTCTGTAAGAAACACATCTGATTTACTAATGTTCAATGATTTCCTTCTAATTTCTTCATTGAGCAAACTGCTTCTTACCATACTCATTGTGACTTTTTCTTCGGGTGTAGAGTTGCTAAGAGACACCACAAGCGTCTCCCAACTTTTCGACAATAAACTCAGTAATAGTAAGGTTTGGAGTTCATCATTTCACACCATTTTCATTGAAGCCAATTGATTTACAACATCTTGCATTTAGTTCAAGTATTCGGTAATGAACAAACCCTCCTTGTACTTCAAGTTTATGAGCTTTCTTATTAAGAAAGCCTTATTGCTAGTGGTTTTCTTCTCATACAACTCTTCCAATTTGTTCCAAAAAGGAATGGTTGAAGTTTCATTTGCCACAAGATGATAAATACTATCATCCAACCATTGTCAGATGCATGGAACGCCTTTCAAGACAAGAATTTCCCATTGGTCACTTGACATATCCTTGGGCTTGCCTTGTTCACCTTTCAATGGTGCATACAAGTTTTCGGAGAGCAACCTATCTTTCATCTTTGATTTCCAAAGAGACCAATTGCTTTCATTCAATGAAATCATCCTAACCGAATTTCCTTCAATGATTTGCACAATAACCAAGCTCTGATACCACTTTATTAGGATTAATCCCTATATTTTCCTTGTGCAAATAAGAGATATCTTAACCAACAAATAGTAAATATGTAGTAATGAATCAAACAATCAAACACAAAACAAGCAACAATAGTAGAAACCAAAATTTATGTGAAAAACCCCTCAATGTAAGGGTAAAAGCCACGGGACTGAAATCCAAATCATCTACTATCAACAATAGTAATGGGATACAATGTTTTTCTATCTAGTCACAACTAGATAATAAACATCAAAAAAGTTCTTGGATTCCAACAACAGAAAACATCAATAAAATAGATAGGTAATAGAAAATCTCTCACCAAAGGTGGAAGCAAAAGAATGGAAGCAAGAAGATATGCTAAAAACGGACTTGTCTTCTTCGTTTAAGCCCTTGTAAATCTCTTTCTTCTTTCCAAACCCTTCTTTTCAAAACCCATTTTTCTGTTCTCTATATTTGCTAAAGAGCTATTAAAGTTGAGAGAGTGGAGAGTGAGCTCTCTCCAATTCGTTGGCTAGCCAAAAGACGTATTGGCTTACAAGACAAGCCAAAGAATACAAAAGACCCTTTTACTTGATTTTCCCTTTTTGTCCTTTTCACTTTTACTCCATTTTGTCTTTATTATTTGTGGGTCCCACTTCATGTGGAGGACAACCCAACATGAAGACCCCCTATGCGCTTGATTAGGTACATCTATTTCTAGAGTTAAGAAGCACATCATCAATGAGAGTAGCTTAGGTCGAGTCATTAGTGTTATGCATGTTTCTCTCACTGGTGACACCATCGCCCAAGTCAGTGCTCGATGTAGGGCTCTCAATCAAGTTGCCGATTTGACCAACAAGGTCAATCTAGTGTTTTTCTACTAGAGAGAGATTGCTAATGATGTTAATGTTTTATTTTGAAAGTTTGGAAGAGAATAATGGGTAAAATAGTCTTTTTCATCTTTCCATTAACAGACGTTAATGGCAAGGAGGATTTAGTCAATTAGCTAACCCATAAGGGTAGTTTAAGAAATTTGCCCTTATATAATACAAATAATATTTTATAATTTTTTTCTTTGTTCCTCTTTTATTTTTTCAAACCATATATAGTGATATCTTTCAT